CGAAAGAGCTGCAGTTTCGCAATGCCCTATAAATGAAACTGTTGCTTTTTACTGATTTGACATGACTCATCCTTTTCATCCCGTTTTTTATTTTTTATTTTTTTTTGTGGAACCAAGATCATCCTCGCTGCAGAACTCACAGGATTACTGAGAGTCCTCAGGAGAAGCTCTCTTTACTTGGTGGATGCTTTTTGGGAGCTTTGTTTCTAAGAATGGAAAATTATCTACCTTGTAAGAAATGCTTATTGTGTACATTCACTGTCTACAGCAATTACTTCTGGTCCTGGAATCTGGTCCTTGTTTTAAGAACACTGATATCTGTCTGTGATTAAAATTGCATTGTTACACCAGTAGGTGGCGAAAAGGCTTTATAAATCAATTAATTCATCTAAAACACTGATTCATTCATTCAGGAATGAAACAAGTGACTTTTGTGAATGAGTAATTATCACTCAAATGATGTTCGAAACACTGATTCATTGAAAAAGGATGCAAGTGACTCTTAATGGGTGAGTCATTGCATCATAACTCTGATCCATTCAGAAATTAAACAAGTGACCATCTTCATGAGTGAGTTTTTGAATCATTCTCAGCCAGTTTGTTCAAAACATTGATGGAATGAAGCAAATTACTCTTTATGAGTGAGCCACTGAAACATTCACTCATACTATCCGTTCAAAAACACTGATTAATTTAGGAATAAATTAAGGAACCATCTTTATGAGTGAGTTATTGAATCATTCTCCGTCATTTAGTTCAAACCATTGCTTTGCTCAGGAATTGACTGTGAGTCACTAATGCATTCACTCATCCAAATTGTTCAAAACATTGATTGAGGGATGAGTGAGTCATCGAAGCACTGAAAAAAAAAAGATTAATTCAAGAATGTCATTACTTTGGTTCGTTCCGCTGTGTATTTTTGTTAGGCGAAGCAAAACATAGACCAAGTAATTAGTGATGCTGTGACAAAAATGTAAGTTACTAAATATTAGCAAGAGTACTCTGGCTTGTACATTATGGTATCCCTGGTCTTGTTGTACCTGATCGTAATATCTGAAGGTTACCACAGCTGCTGCAGGTAACTTGGTGATTCTACAGTCCATAAGCTGTTCATCCGGCTGTAGATGTATGACCCTGTGGAGAACGTCCAGTCTTGCTTTCTTTTATATAAAGCAATTCCCAGTCTTGTAAACCAATGGCTAAATTATCATAGTTTATTGATGCTATCCAGCATACCTATGAATTGTGCTCCAGCAGGCTTGCAGATAAATGAAACCTGGTTCAGGGCCTCTCTCTTTCTCTGACTGTGTTGAAAAATCTAAAGGAAATCTTTTATTTTCTCAATAGCTTAAGATTTTGAATAGAGTAGTTTTGATATGACATGTGTGTTGGATGACAGCATTACTCACGGCTCAATATTACCCATTTCTGTCAGCATCACTGGCATCTGTAGCACGGGTGTCATCTGCATGTATGTTACCAAATGACGATGCAATGCACACGTAGAGGCTTTCTATTTTTGTTTTGTTTCTCTTGTACTTCCTCTTCGCCTCTCTTTCTCCTTCCTGTTCTTCTTTCCTTCCTCCTCCTCTTCTCTACTTTTTCTAGTTTTTCCTTCTTACTTCTCTTACTCCTCTTCTCTTCTTCATTTCCCTCTCTCCTTCCTTTCTCTTCTTTTCTTTCTTTCATCTTCCATTCACCCTCTTCCTTTTAACGTCCTCATATTCTCTCCTTCTTCCTTTACTCTTTTACCTCATTTTCCTCTTCTCTTCTCCTTCAGAAGGGAAGCCCTTCTTTTCTTTTATCTTCTCTTTTTTCTCTTATTTTCCTCTTCCTTCCTACTTTCCTTACTCTGCTTCTCTACTGCTTTATTTTCCTCTCTTTTCTTTTCTTTCATTTATATTCTCTTCTTTCTCTTTCCTCTTCAATTTTCCTTTTTCCTTTTGACGTCCTCTCCTTTTTCTTTTAATATTTTACTTCCTTTTCCTCTTCCCTTCTACTTCACCTTCCTCTCTGCTGCCTCTTTCTGTTCCATTATTTTTCCTTGCCTTCTCTTTCCTGTTTACTTCTCTTCCCTTTTCCCTTTCTCCCGCTTCCTTTCCACTTCCTCTTCTCTCCTATTTCCTTTCCTCTTGTTCATATTCATTTCCTACTTCATATTCCTCTCTTCTTCCTTATTCCCTTTTAATCTCTTGGGTCTTGTCTTCTCCTTCCTTTTCAGTTCTTTCCTCTTTTATTTCCCCTTTTCCCTTCTACTTCCTCTTCCTCCTCTCCACTTCGCATTCTGTTTTCTTTCCCCTTCCCTCCTTCTTTCCTTAATCTTCTTCTTAGTTTCTACCTTATCTTCCTCTCTCCCTTCTCTTTTCTTTCCTCTTTCTGTCTTCTTCCACTTTACTTCTCCCCCTTCCTGATTACTACTACTTCCTTCTCTTCCTTTCTACTTCCTGTTTTAATCTCCCCTTTTTCTCTGCTATTTCATCGTCCTTTCTCTTTCCCCCTCCTTCTCTCTCTTATCCTTCCTTCCTCCTCTTCTCTTCCACTTCCACCTCTTTCTTATCCTTCCTCCTTCTCTTCTGTTCTTCTTCCTCCTTTATCTTCCCTTACGTCCTCCTCTCCTCAAAGGTGAACACCATATTAATCCAATACAGCTCTTGACATTTGATTCTCTTGTGCAGAACTGCATGATTGCCATAATTGTTCTCAGCTCACCCTGCTCACCCCGCCACGTGACAGAAAGTACAGAAGCTTTATGAGCTCGCACTGTGCTGGGAATCACACAGCCGCATTGTTGTCAGCAGCAATGGCATTCACTTTCATGTTATTTGAAAAAAAAAAAATTCACCTCATTACACCTCACGCCTCTCAAGGCCTCCGCCGCTTGATCCTCTTCTTTACCTCCCTCCCTGCTGAAGCGTTTGCCTCCTGCTTCATCGTCTCTTACTGGGGCAGAAGTTTAAAAATGTATTCATTTCATAATCTTATTTTTTTTGTTTATTATTTTTTCATCTAATTCCCTTCCCACACAAAATCCAATTTTGCCAGGCTCATTGTTTGAGAGGCAGCAGAGTGCTTTTTTGTTTGCTCCCCTCTCTTCCTCTCTCTCTCGACTTGGAGCAACCTATATTGTGTTATGCAAATTTATTAGTGTAAAATCAAATCAGAGAAGATAAACCAGACCCCGCACTTGAAACCAGCAGGGATTTTCAGTTTTTCTAAAAGATTTGTTAAGTTAAAGCTTTATCTTTCCTTGTAATTGATCATTTACACTCAAGATATACATTACAATTATCTCTGCATGAAATTCAATTAAATTACGTAAAAATGGGCATATAGTTTAACTACTGTGAGTCATTCTCCTCTAAAACATTTAGTGATAACATGGTTGAGTATATGTTTCGTGTGTGATCCTCACCAGCAGTCAAAAAGACTTCAGGGCAGCAATTCAAGTAGATTTGCGATGAAAGAATTGATTGTTATGGCGGTCACTATTAGGTTAAGACGAGCACCCTGCCGAGAGGAAGAGGAGAGGCAAACCAGAGAGTGAAAAGTGGTGCAAACAGTTTTGCAGTGCTTTCAACATGGTGTTTTAATGCCCACAGGGAAGAACATCCATGTTCAACAGCTCTCCTTCACATCCTGCAATCCAAAACCTTGTCTAGTGCTTAGAGTGTCTACGTAGAAAATGAACTGTTTATTTGCAGCAAATTTTCATAATCGATTAGTGGGTGAGTTGTCTAAATGACTTGTTGTTCTTGAGGAAGCATTATATAATTAGTGAGATGTTCACTAGACTAGACTTCTGTAGGGGGCGGTTTAGATAATACTTAAAATGTTTGGACAGAGTGCAACAAGGTCTCAATACAAATTTATAAAACAAACCGACAGCATGCTAACACTCTCAGAGAAATTGTGTTTTTAAACTAGCATGCTGCTAGGAATGCTAAGGTCATTGCTTTGATTCTCAGGGAATGTAAGATCTGAAAGAATCTATGTAGACCTTGTTTTATGGGCAAGATATTTTTAAATAAAAGTATTCAAGTATTTTCTTAAATAAAAAAGTGTGTCAAAGGCATAAATACATATGTAAATGCATGCTAAACCTGCTAAAGCTAAAACTAACATGCATCTGTCCACACACTTCCTGTCCCAGGTTTCTTTCTGAGTCTGGTAACACACATGCCTTTAAGTATCTCTGAGAGCCGAATACTCTTGATACCTAGGGTTGATTGAAGAATTGGTAGGTGGGAAGCCATGCTTTTATTTATGCCTCCTCTGCAAGAATAAATAAAGTGACACAGACAGACAAGGCAGTTCATATCTCCCTGACTGAGGAGAGGAAGAAACCGAGAAAGCAGACCCAATAGTGAGGCGCAGCTTTATGTGACTTAGATTGAGAGTGCTGTGCGTGCAAAGACATGAACTCACAGACGACTCACGCACTCAAAAAAAATGTAATGGATATGAAACACTATTCCAAGGTCACCTACATTGCATGTGTGTGTGAGAAATGTTTTGTCTGCAATTCACTTCCACTAAGCTAAGTTTGTGTGGCTAGACAGAGATTGTTTTCAATGCAAGAGCACCTATATAGTGACTGGCTGTTCCTGTGTACCTTTGTCTGTGCTTGTGTGTTAATGCAACAAAGAATGTTCTTAAAATCACATTGCTTATTTTAGAAAATCTTTTTTTATCCCCTAGTTTTTCCAATTCACTGATTTATTAAACAGTTTTAGCCCTTGTGGTGGAGAATTGCACCATGGAAATTGATTGCAGTGTTTGTGGCATTACCTAATTTGCATAATTTGTTTAGTGAATCAGGCACTGAAGAGCATGTGCAAATAAGCAACAGAAACTCAATGCTATTTAATATATATGACATTTTAGTGTGTCTTATCTATTGTATCTTTCTCTTTCAGCATTGATTTGTGTTAGTCAATATCGTCTACAGTAGTATTCCAAACCTTACATGGTTCTCTCTCTCTCTCTTTCTTTTTTTGCAGTTTGGCCTAATAAAACCCTTCCCAAAGAGTGGAGAACCTGTCAGCGAATTATGAATGATAAACAAGATGACCTCCTCCCTGATGCAGCAGACGATGAGAGGTCCTAGGTGGAATCGGGCCCTGTCCGACCCATTGTTCGTGCTGTCGCTGGCCCTGCAGCTTCTGGTGGTGGCTGGCCTGGTGCGAGCACAGACATGCCCCTCTGTCTGCTCTTGTAGCAACCAGTTCAGCAAGGTCATCTGTACGCGGCGTGGCCTTCGAGATGTACCCGATGGTATTTCTACCAACACAAGGTACCTGAACCTTCAGGAGAACCTCATCCAGGTGATCAAGGTTGACAGCTTCAAGCATCTAAGGCACTTGGAGATCCTGCAGCTCAGCAAGAACCACATCCGCAACATTGAAATCGGAGCTTTCAATGGGCTGGCCAACCTCAACACTCTAGAGCTGTTCGATAATCGTCTAACCACAATCCCCAATGGGGCTTTCGAGTACCTGTCCAAACTTAAAGAGCTTTGGTTGAGGAATAACCCTATCGAGAGTATACCCTCTTATGCCTTCAACCGCGTAACATCGCTACGAAGGCTGGACTTGGGTGAGCTGAAAAGGCTCTCGTATATCTCAGAAGGTGCCTTTGAAGGCCTCAGCAACCTGCGTTACCTGAACCTGGGCATGTGCAACTTGAAGGAGATCCCCAACCTCATTCCTCTTGTCCGTTTGGATGAGTTAGAGATGTCAGGAAACCAGCTGTCTGTAATTAGGCCTGGGTCTTTTAAAGGCCTTGTCCACTTACAAAAACTGTGGATGATGCATGCGCAGATCCAGACGATTGAGAGAAATGCCTTTGATGATCTTCAGTCCCTCGTGGAGCTCAATTTGGCCCATAATAACCTTACCCTCCTACCCCATGACCTCTTCACCCCACTACACCACTTGGAGAGGGTGCACTTGCATCACAACCCCTGGAACTGCAACTGTGACATCCTCTGGCTCAGTTGGTGGCTAAAGGAAATGGTACCGGCCAATACCAGTTGCTGTGCCCGCTGTGCATCACCTACCAGCCACAAAGGGCGCTACATTGGCGAACTCGACCAGAACCATTTCCATTGTTATGCACCAGTGATCGTGGAGCCACCAGCAGACCTGAACGTGACTGAGGGCATGGCAGCAGAACTGAAATGTCGAGCGAATTCTTTGACCTCAGTCAGCTGGATCACGCCCAATGGGTCCCTCATGATGCACGGGGCATACAAGATACGCATTTCCGTGCTCAATGATGGGACTTTAAACTTCACCAACGTCACAATGCAGGACACGGGAATGTACACTTGTATGGTGAGCAACTCTGCAGGCAACACGACAGCCTCGGCTACACTCAACGTGTCCTCGACAGAGAACAGCAGCTTCAGTTACTTCACTACAGTTACTGTGGAGACCACAGAAGCGACACATTATGAGGGTCACCCTACGGTACAGCAGAAGGGTGGCCCTACTCCTTCTTCTGGAATTTGGGAGACCTTATCACCTTCCTTCACCACCACCACAACCACAACAACAGCACGGACACAACTGTCCACCAAGGCCACCGACAAAACCTATACCATCCCTGTCACAGCCCTGATTGACGGATCCCTCAACACCTTGGATGAGGTCATGAAGACCACAAAGATCATTATAGGTTGCTTTGTGGCCATCACCCTGATGGCGGCCGTCATGCTGATCATATTTTATAAAATGCGCAAACAGCATCACCAGCAGAACCACCACGCACCGACGCGAACCATCGAGATTATCAACGTGGACGAGGATTGTGTAACGGGTGGACCTAACATGGAGGGCCACCTCACCCTCCCCCAACTGGAGCATGAGCACCTGAATCATTACAACGCCTACAAGACTGCGTACAACCATGCCTCCACCATCAATTCTATACACAGCTCTGTCCATGAACCTTTACTAATTCGGGCCAGCTCAAAAGACAATGTACAAGAAACCCAGATCTGAACTGCTTTTCATAATGGGGATTAAACAAAGAAAAAAAAGACTTCTAAAACTCTTAAGGAACAGTAAGTGACATATCGATTTTGAAGATTGTCGAAAACAAAGACACAGTAGCCCAATGCAAGACGTATGAGAAGGATGTGGACAGGTAGACAAGGACATTGGGAGTTGAGTGTACGTCAACAGTTTCAAAAGTGTCTTTGCATAACAGAAGTTATTTATTTAAGGGAAATAACTATTGTGGTTTAATCAAGAAAAGATGTAATCTGCAATTATTTTTCCAGCAATTATTTCTCCATGTTTTTAATGTTATTTTAAGGGGTGTTGGTTTACTAATATGCTTTTAAACTCTGTTTAAATCTATCGCTCTGTATGTGAGGACCCACGTCATTTGCAGATGAATCTGAAACTTTCCATCTTTCTGAAATCTCAAGATTCACATTTAATGGTGATACTTTTAAAATCTTAGGTTACAGACTGTCATATTAGAAAACTTCCACACCATAATTGTTTAAATTGATCATGTTAATTCTAAATGATTCATTTCTTGACTCTCCTCAATTGCTGATATTTGGCAATATCACATTGTTTAGTTATCCTTGCTGAAAAAGAGGCTTTTTAAATCATATTAGGCAGGTTTGCTGGTCGTAGTTGGCCTCCCAGCCTGGTCAGGTCCGTCTGTTGGCTGATTTTAGAGTGGTTTTGGGCACTTTAACTGGAAAGGCTGGAAGACGAGCTTAGAACAGCTATTTTTTTCAACAGGGATGGCTGCTACAAATTAGATGCAGATGTATACCTGGCTTCTCCACCCTAAAATTTAGAACAAGGAGCCCTGGAAACGTGTCCCCATTTAAAACTGGGCAAAATGTAAGGAACACTTGTCTATTTGACGCATGCAGGGCAATTTAAAATAATTTCTGTCACGATTTATGGATTAAGTTAGCATTTTGGGATGGCCCACATGCTCTTAAATACATGTTGAGGGATCTCAAGTTCTTAAAACTTTTTTCTGAATTTTTATTCTCATATAACGTAAGATTATGTGTTCCTGTGGCATTTCATCCTTGATACCATACTAAAGTTTCCCAATACTCATACACAGATGCAGCACACTCATTCTATGTCAAATTCTATAGGGGCAGGGGGCTGAAGATTGTTGGTCTTTATTTGAAGGCTGACAGAGTGGAAATGTGGCGAAAGCATAGAGCTGGTACTGACATAGCACCATTTCCATTTCAACGCATTTGTCTTCATGCTCACCATGGATACAGTTGAATGAATTCATTCTGGAATGGTCTAAAAGCCGGGCATTGAACCCTAAATAAGTGGGCAAAGTCAGTGCAGCTCAGATCTAAAGCTTCCAAAGATGCCACAGATGTGTCTTTATAGATTGTGAACCGATTGTGTTTTTCCCCCCTCTCACTATTTCTCTTTCATATTCTATCTTCCATCATTCTGCACTGCCAATCTTTTTAGGCAGTTATGCAACTCTTTTTCTTTTTAACTTTTAAATCTTATTCAGTCACTTTAGTTTATTTTCGTTACAGACTGAGGATGATACATCCATCTTCGGCTTTACACACGCAGTAGCCTTTGGCTGCAGGGGGAATGACTTGGCATTATGAATTAATTTATGAAATCAGAATGGACGGAGACGGTCACTATAGCAACCAATGACCTTGGACAGGTTGGGGGGTGCGGGGCAGGGGGTAGACGATAGACACTGGTTTGATGCTTTAAATGTATTCAGAGTCAAATGGGAGAGCGAGGCTGGGTGAAAGAGCCAAAGTGGACTCATTTGAAGTGCATCATTTAAAATTTAAAGCAATCTAGAGGTCTATAGGTAATATGAATTAAGCCAATAAGCCTGTGACATTTTATTCAGATTCGTAGCATTTCGTTTTGGCCGTTCATAGTTCATGCAAAGCACACAGGAGACTGACAAGGAGATTTGTCTCTTGCATTTCTGCTCTTAATACAGATGTCGACTGATACCATGTGGCATTTGATGAACTTTTCCGTATCATATTTTGATCACACACCAGATGCACTCTAATTTTTAAAGATCTGATGCAATTATGCTTGTCAGCTTTGCTATTTCAGATCATTACGAAAAAGTTTTTGAGTGTACCTCCTGCCCACTAGAAGCAAAGGCCATCTGGTACATTTTCTAATCAAGATATCAAAGCATGCAAAAAAAAGACTGTTCTTCATCTGAATATGCTGCTCTTTCGAATCTTAATTAATTTCCTTGTACTTCTGAATTTAGTTTGCATTGTCACTGAAACTGATGTCAATCTCAACATAAAGCGAAAATTGTTTTTAATCAATGGAGTTTAGCACAAAAGTAAACCAAGTCATTGGGTTTTCAGTTGCATTTTATTTATTTTAAGAACTTGAATCATTGACATAAATTGTCATAATTTTGGGAAAAGATCTTTGTCGTTATTTATAATATTATCAATTTGTATTCTAATTTTTGTTATTTTTCAACTTATTGTGATTTTTTTTCTGTATGTTTGTTCAGTCCCATCATGCATCTGTGTGTTGGGTTTCAGTTTAAGAGTGAACGAGATGCTTTTCTCTCCGTTTCACGTAATTTCTTTATTTTCGTCTCTGAGAGGGAATGCTGTTCTAGTGGTAGATTTCTATAAAAATAAATTTTGAAGAAGAAAAAGATAAAAACAAAAAACAAAACAAGAACTTTTTAAATTTTAATTTTACATGTGCCAACCTGTTCTAAAAAAAAGAGAGAGAGAGAGAGCAAGATATGCTGTAAAAGACAACTGGATTGATTTTCATGTAAACATTATTTCATGACCTTTAAAAAAAAGATGGAGATCGATTATAGAAATCAGAGTTTGTAGTTCATACACAAGATAAGGTTACAAATAAACTATCATTGTCTTTTATCGTCTCATTAGTTTTCTTTCACTAAGGTTTATTGTGTCAAAATGAGATAAGTCTTAAGCAAAATTGTTTGTAATGATAACTGTCAATATTAATAACACTGTCTTGTATTTTATATTACACACTTCAGCTTTGGAAAAAACATATTTGTGTATGTTTTAGTGCTTCTAAACAACATCACCTTGCTGTGCATGAATGGATGTTTTTCATTGATAGGCCATATTTAGTGAGTGACTGGCTCCAACAGTTGTTTTTAGTTTTAGACAGTATTAGAAATGGGTGAATTGAGAAAAGACAGATGAAATGTTTCCTCCTAGCTGATCTAAAGCAGCTGGACGTAGTGCATGTTGCAGTATGAATACATTTCACTGGCTGCCTCATTGTGATGAGCACAGCAGTGCTGTTTTCCAGTGCTGTGCTCGGAGACAAATACCTGAGAGATGAAGCTCTACTCATTTTACGTGTGCCTGACTGTTTTAATGAATATAATTGCAATATTTAAGAGGAGAGAAGGAACATCGGTTTGGATCAACATCAAAAAGAGATTTGTGTGTTTTACCTTGTTTTTTTCCCAGCAGATTTTGACACTTATATTCATTTTAGCAGTATTTTATTACAGAATTTATCAATAATGTATCAACAACATTAGCAATGTTGCAATAGCAAGTAAACTAGAGTAGCACAAAAGCTTGAATGTAAGTTTAAAGCAGCACTATGTAACTTTTGGTGCTCTAGCGGTTAATAAACAGAACTGTTAATAAACACATCCCGCGAAAGAATATTCCAACCGGAGCTACTTCTCTAAGTTTATGTCTATGGCGATTCACGTAGGTATGTGTTACTCCGCAGCGGTGACGACCCGACTAGGCTACAATAGTCAAAATATAAGTACTTATTATAAGTGTACCGTAGTGATTCGGAATAAGACAAAAACACGGTTTGGAAGATGAATTCATGATGTACTCGCTCATTATATACATTTTGCAAATTTTGAACACAGAAAAATTTACATAGTGCTGCTTTAATGCAGAGTAGAGACAAGATTCTTTTTATTGTAAAAGGAAACTTTTGGATATGGCTTTGGGCCTGTATTTTGCAGCCCTTTTTGAGGCCGGTGTTGATTGTTTCCTGCTTCATATTGTTAATTTCCTGATGAACTGTCCTGTGGCCGTCAGTTTAAGACTAATTATGGAGCAGAAGGCCAGTTCACAGTGGTTTGCTCCTGGAACGCTGATCCACAAAGCAACAGAAATTATTGTTTTTTTTTTTTTTTTTTTTGTGTGGGGGGGGGGGGGGGGGGTACTGCCAACCCATAGTAGCAAAATGTCTCTCTTTCTACCATTAATACTTGTCAACTTAGCCTTTTGCTGCATTTTAGTAAAGTAAGCAAAATCACTGTTTAGTTTGAATACCAATGTTTGTGTTTAAATCTTGAATATTCTTAAAAATTATGCTTTTGTATTCCACAGAAGAAAGAAGGTCATTCGCGTTTGGAACATCGTGAGGGTGAGTACATTTATAGGCTTTAAGAAAAAAAAAAAAAAAGATGTTTTGGACCGTTTCTTACTTAATCATTATTCCCCGGGTAGTTGTTCTGCTCAAAGGTTTATTGACTCTAGCAAAGGACTGACACATTTGCGCATTCAAATCTTTGCATTTCATTAACAATGTCGAGCGGCAGCTGAGAGCAAAGCCATGTTTGTGAAGACGACAGGCACGTTCACTCAGAGCTGCACAATTCACTTGGCAGCAATTAACCGCGCGTTTTTGTTTTGATTCAAATTTGCTGTGCGCCCTTTGTAGTCCTGCGTACTTTGCGTATTATTGTTTTGCGAACACTTCCCTCGAGTTTTCTGCCTCTCTTGCTCGGTATTAGCCCTGTCTGTGAAATTCAGCACTGCATCTCCCTATTGTGTCCTGAACACAACTTTATGCTGAATAGCTGCATTGAAAGAAAACAAAGAAGAAAAAAAAAAGAGGAAAACGGATGTCCCCCGATACCTCTCATGGAAAATGTCTGTTTGTATTTGCTGAAAGTGGTCTAAAAACGCTCCAGGGAGCGAACAGCTTACAGTAGCGCTTGGAAAACCTGGGTCTGTGGGTCACAGTTATGTATGTGTGCCGATTGAAGAAGGACACATATGTCCAGGCAAAATGAGTAACATTTGGCCCCTACAGCCTATGACCAAATCACCAGCATGCCCTTGTCAGCCTGACAGAACTGCCCCAGATCTTTGGTGGCTGATCTGAAGGCTGGACAGGTCTGTTTTGCCCCCATTGCCAGGAGTGGATTGGCCAGAGGGAGTACCGAGTTTGTCCTTATTTATGTTGTATTTAATTGATATATTCAATAAAAAAAAATTATTGAAAAATTGTAAAAAAAAAGTTTAATTTATATTATTAAAAAAAAAAAAATTATTTGAAGTTTAATATTTATCCATTTAAATATTACATTAACAATATAAATATAACATCAAATTATAAAATAAATTATATTTAATAACATTGTTATATTAACATTTAACATTTTAACAGTTTAATATAATATAATATAAATTAGTAATTAGTAATAGAATATATATTAGATTATGTATATTACATATAATGTTGACGAAACCTGCAAAAACAATAAATAAATAAATACACAAGTAAATAAATAAATGTGTGCATAAATACACGTATTCTTGTTTAAATACATAAATAAATAATTAAACGTGATGAAAGTAGGCAAATAAATGAAATAAATTGGTGGGCAAATGGAAAATGTTTGAGGAAATGCTAAACTCATCCTAACTATTTTCCTTTGATTACTCATTTATTTCTGAATGTAGTTCCACATTTATTTTTCCTCTGCACAACATGCTAATGAGAGGGTGTCAATTATGCAAGAGTAGGCGGATCGTGTGTGGCGCGCTTGAGCGTTTGCCTGCGCATGCGTATTAACTTCATCAGTCAAGGTGACTGCTTATTATCTTACACGTTTTCATAGGGTTAGTTTTGTAGTTATAATCATGATAGAGCGAAATCATGAACGATTTTAAGTGGCCAATGTAAAATATTAATGCTTACATAGCTCTTAATTGCAATACTGAACCATTATTTGCTTAATAAATATAAGTTTGTCACCTGTATTTTCTGTTCTGATAACTAATGCGAAAATGTTCTAATCGTCTGTTCCTCGATTAAACCACTTCATACCAGTTCTCAAGGATATATATGAGTCTCTGTTTGTACAATAATAAATTGAGAATCAACTGAGATGTACCCTTGTGTATGTCACTAATTTGGTTCTCCCGCTGTAAAGAGAGAGAGATTGCTGCAGATCAAGTTGGTTGTAGAAGACCGTTTACTGACCATAAAAATGATCTTACACGTACCTAAACAACGAGCAGGTAAAACCATCCTAATAAACACTAGCTGCCATCAAAAGAACGAGCCCTTATTCCACGGATAAAGTGAATAATCTCACGATGACCATGGGATACTGATATTACAGTTGTCTCTAGCTGGAGACTCAATCGGGTTGCAAAAAATGACGTCAGGAAACGACACTGGCCATTTCGTTGGGTCGTTTGTAAAGTCACAGTTACCGTACGGACAATACAGCTCAGTTTTTTATGTATCTTGCTCTGTTCTTAATTGCAATACTGAACCATTATTTGCTTAATAAATATAAGTTTGTCACCTGTATTTTCTGTTCTGATAACTAATGCGAAAATGTTCTAATCGTCTGTTCCTCGATTAAACCACTTCATACCAGTTCTCAAGGATATATATGAGTCTCTGTTTGTACAATAATAAATTGAGAATCAACTGAGATGTACCCTTGTGTATGTCACTAATTTGGTTCTCCCGCTGTAAAGAGAGAGAGATTGCTGCAGATCAAGTTGGTTGTAGAAGACCGTTTACTGACCATAAAAATGATCTTACACGTACCTAAACAACGAGCAGGTAAAACCATCCTAATAAACACTAGCTGCCATCAAAAGAACGAGCCCTTATTCCACGGATAAAGTGAATAATCTCACGATGACCATGGGATACTGATATTACAGTTGTCTCTAGCTGGAGACTCAATCGGGTTGCAAAAAATGACGTCAGGAAACGACACTGGCCATTTCGTTGGGTCGTTTGTAAAGTCACAGTTACCGTACGGACAATACAGCTCAGTTTTTTATGTATCTTGCTCTGTTGAACGGAAAAGGTGAGTTTACGTAGGCCATACTGGATTAACACCAAGCATCTCCTGTCAGCGGGAAAGGATTGTTTTCCCCATGCTGTGCTCCCAGCTATCACAAGACCCGACCAAGTCCATGGTTGACACCCTCTCATTAGCATGTTGCGCAGAGGAAAAATAAATGTGGAACTACATTCAGAAACTCTCATAGTTGAGGTATACCTATGATGAAAATTACAGGCCTCTCTCATCTTTTTAAGTGGGAGAACTTGCACAATTGGTGGCTGACTAAATACTTTTTTGCCCCA